GTGCCTAAGGCATTTGACTGCTAACCAGAAGGCCTGGGGTTCAAACCCACCAGCCACTCCTCGGAAGGAAGGTTGGGCAATCTACTTCCATAGTGATGCTGCCTTGGAAACCCAAGGAGGGGTCGCTGTGAGTCAGGTCTGACTTGACAGCACGTGACAACAACAGCAACATCCCATATGTACTGGAAGCAGGCCACACCCAAAGGCAACTCCCCCTCAGCTGATTAGCTGCTCACTGCAGGTTTCACCACCGAGGTGATAACACGCCATCCAGGCTCATCATGGGGAATAACTGCATCACAGCCACCGAGCTACTCAGAACCAGGCCCAGCCACATCGACACACAACCCTAACTGCCACAGGTGCCTGACAACAAGAGAAGAAACGCACGTGTGTGTGTTGGGGTCGTGTTCACCCACTGGCCACCCTGCTCTTCTTCCTCACTTGTCTCTGGGGCTCAGCTACCTGGTGTCCTGTCCTTACTCCAGCCCAGCCCTGCTGCCACGTGCCTCCTTTGTGCTGTTATTGTCAGGTATGTCCTACATGTAGCAGGCCCAATGTTCCAGTTACATATGTATCGTTTCATAGAATTGCTTTTTAAAGCCACTAAGAGGAAAAAGGACGTGTGCATCACACTGCCTTTGTTAATTACGTAGTCATTTTCACCACCTCCTTGTTTTTTCACGTGGATGTGTATTACTGTCTGGGGTCACTTACTTTCAGCGGAAGAACTTTCTTTAGTATTTCTTGCAAAGTGCGTCTGCTAGCAACAAATTCTGTTTTTGTCTATATAGGAGTGTCTCTGTTTCACCTTCTTTGACAGATAGTTTTGCTGCATGTAAGAGTGTTTGTTGACAGTTTCTTCTTTTAGTGCCTTGCAGATGTCATACCACTGCTTCCTGGCCACCATTGTTTTATTCCGAGAAATCAGCTGTCAGTCTTACTAAGGGCCCCTTGGACCTGGTGAATTGCTTTTCTCTTACTGCTTTCAAGATTTTCTCCTAGTCTTTGGTAGTCAGCATTTTTATGTGATGTATTTAGGTGTAGATTTGTGCATTTATCCTACTTGGTGTTCATTCATCTCCCTGAAGGTGTAGCTTAGTGTTTCTCAGCAAACTGAGACATTTTCAGCCCATATGTCTCTGAGTACTTTTTCTGTTCTCTTCTCTCCTGGTACTCCCATTGCACGTATGTTGGTCCTCTTCAGTGTGTCTTGTATTTCTCTGAAGCCATGTTTATGTTTCATCTTTGTATTTTCTCTGTGTCTTCCAGATTGTGGAATCACTAGTGATAAAGGTAAACTGATGATACCAATTCAGATCTAATGTCAGGCCCCTTGGATAAAGTTTTCATTTCAGCTCTAGTGCTCTCTACGTGGCTCTTACAATAATTTGTATCTGTTTGATGAGACATTGTCTTCATATGTCCTTTAACATGAATTTTTCTATGTAAACAGTCAAATCATTTGCAAATCATGACAGCTTCATTTCTCCCTTCCAACCTGAAGGCTGTTAATGTCTTTTTTTCATTCCTGCACTGACTGGGAGCCCAGAATGGTGTTGGGTCATAGTGGAAACGGGCCATGCTGCCAACCTTCCATTTACACGGGATGCTTTCTGGAAGGAGCTACTTCAGGCCACAGACATGCCCTTCTCTCATTGGTTTTCTGAGTGGTTTGGTTTTGGTTTTTAACTTTGAATGGATGTTGAATTTTACTAAGCATGTCTTTCATGTCTATTGAGGTTATAGGATTCCATGCTCTTAGCCTGTTAATGGCTGCTAATATCTGTCCATTGATTTTATAAAGTTAAACCAACCTTGCATTCCTGAGAGAAACCCAGTTCACTCCTGATGTATTAGTGTTTTCACACATTGCAGAACTTGGTTTGCGTATGATTTGCATACAATTTTTCCATCCTGTTCATCAGGGAGATTGGCCTAAATGTTCTTTTCTCACAGAGTCTTGGTCAGGTTTTGGTTCCAAGATTATTCTGGCCTCATAAGCTAGTTAGGAAAAGTTCTCTGGTTTTATATTCTGTGGAATGATTTGGGGTAGAATTGGAATCATGTATTTCTGACTTTTTCGTGGAACTCCCAGTAAAGCCCTTGGGCTGGACCTTGCTTTTATAACTCTTTCAGTACCAATTCAGAATCCTTTGCAGTTTTTCTAGAATCTGTCAATTTCATCTGTGTTTTCATTTATTGGATAAAGTTTGTTCACTCTGTCATCCTGATGTCTCCTTTCTGTCTACAGTTATGGCCCTTTGTCACATCTCATGTTGTATATGTCCTTTGTCACACCTCATGTTGTATATGTCCCTTCTCTCTTCAGTTCTTGACAACAACCTTACCAGATAAATATATTCATATTTTCAAACAACCAGCATTTGGCTCCTCTTGGTTTTTGCCATTTCATAATTTCTGTTCTGATCTTTATTGTTTCCATCTCTTTCTGTTTTCTTTGGGTTCGTTTTGCTGTTTTACCGCCTAGTTCTTGACCTAGGCCGTGTCTTCTGATATAAGCATTGGAGGCTACGTACTTCCCTCTGATTACAGCTTTAGTTGCATCCCACAAATTTCGATATGCTGTTTGGTGTTATCCTGTGCTTTTAAGTAGTATCTAATTACTGTTATTTCTTCTTTGACCCACAAATCATTGAGTAGTGACTTTCTGAATTTCTATATATTTGGAGGGTTTTTTGAGATTTTTGATTGGTTGGTTTTGTTTTTTTCTTCCCTGCGCATAGCCTGGATAACACTTGTTGAGAGTGGCCTCATGTTTGGCAGGTTTCCTTTGTAATGACATCCTCAGGTGCGTGAGGGACACACACTGCCGCTGCTGGGTGTGGTGCTGTTTGCATGTGCATTAGTCAGCTTACTGATTTAGATGCTGCCAGACACAGTTTGCCCACACGTGCTGTCCGAGGGTTCTGTGCCCACGCTGCTGTTTGGTCACCTTGAGTCACCAGTTGGTGAAAGAGGTGGGTCAAAATTGCCACTATGACTATTGATTTCTCTGTTTCTCCTTGAAGTTCGGCAGTTCATGTTGGGCATATCTGGAGGCTGTGTTCTTGCCACACAAGTTCAGAATTAGTGCCTTTATCATTTCATCATGGAGATGCACACCCCTGTGCTTTGGGCTTGCACTGAGTTCTGTGTCCTGTCAGTTCACCACAGCAGCTTTCTCCTGCCCTGCTCGTTCCCTGTTCGTCTCTTTCTATCTCCTGCCCTGCTCGTTCCCCGTCCGTCTCTGTCTCCTGTCTCCTGCCCTGCTCTTTCCCCGTCCGTCTCTCCCTGTCTCCTGCCCTAGTCTTTCCCTGTGTGTTTCTCACTGTCTCACTTTGTTGACGGCTCTTTGATCTTATGTTGTTTGCGGGGAGAGGCTTAGTCCAGTGTAAAGGTTAACCACAGATGCAAACCATGTGTGTTCTAGGCTTTCCAGTAGCCACATTAAAAAGTAAAGCATGTTGAATTTTAGCAGCATGTTCATTAAACAGCACTTGAAACATTTCAACATGTGATGAAAAGTGTATCTGAGCTGTTTTGTGTTCCTGAGTTCTGAGTGTTTGCACCATGTGAGCCCTGTCATCTCCACTCATCTCTGCCCCTTCCAGGTACTCACTGGCCCGTGTGGCTCATGGCCCGGTCTGGGATGGCATGGGTCCAGGGTGCCCGTCATCTCCCAGCATAATGTGCACTCTCTTGTGCCCCCAGCCTGGCATCTGAGCTGCCCACTGGGGGCCTCACACAGGCTGTGCTGAGGGGCAGTGCTGCCTGTGCGGAGGCAGGAGCAGGGTTTGGTACTGGGGTGCACCCCAGCAGGCTCCCCCTGCAGCCCCTGGAGCTGCCTGGGGGCTGTCAGTGGGATCGGAGCTGCTGAGAGTGGTCTAGGGTGGAAGGCCCAGGCTGGAGAGTGTGTGCTCCTGCAGCATTTCCCAGGAACAGTGGGCTTGCAGAGAGCCCTGGTGGTGCAGCAGTTACGCACTCACCTGCTAACCTGAAGATCAGTGGTTCAAACCACCAGCCACTCCACCAGACACAGATGTGGCATCAGCTTCCGTAAAGATGACAGGCTGGGAAACCCTGTGGTACAGTCCCACTCTGTCCTCAAGGGGCGCTGTGGGTCAGAATGGACTCCACGGCAGTGGGTGTGGTTTGGGCTTTGCTTCTGTGAAGACTGACAGCCTTGGAG